TTAGTGTACATTCTGTTGACGTACCCTATTAAAACGCAATCAAAAACGCAAAAACCCGCATCTAAAATAGTATAATAAAAGCCAAGTTCTTCACAGTAAGCCTTAATCCTGTCTCTCTCCCCTGCGGGGGGAATATCGAAAAATCCCTTCTTAGTGTACATTCTGTTGACGTACCCTATTAAAACGCAATCAAAAACGCAAAAAATCGCATTTAAAACAGTATAAATAGAAGCAGGGTTCTTTACCGTAAGCCTTCCCCATAAAGAACTGGCCATCTCCCATGTTTAACGGAATAATATACAGCCTATGTCCACCCTGAAGTTCCATTCTAAATATCGGTGAAAGAATTTTTGAAATCGGATGAGTAGTTTCAGAGATTACCTGCTGCATAAAAACTAACATGCATACAAACATTACCTCTTTATAATATTAGTATAGATTAGTAAGTATAGATAATACCTGCATTCATAATTCAGGCCGTTGTTTATACCCTTTTTTGATGTCTAAGAATTTTAACGATCATTTTCATCTATCAGAATTTTCCTTTTTTGTTCGGGAACATTTTATAGACTTGCGAGTCAATAATCTACCTGTTTATGTGTGCTCATACTAGAGTTTCTCTTCCGCTAAGACCTTGATAGATAGTTTGGCACATACTTGAACAATTCTGAGACTCGTTTACATCTAGTGTCGCACGAGAATTTTGCAGTTTACTTGAGTTCGAATCTCGTCTGGAACCCACACTCAAAGATTCATTTATCATTCAGTAATTTAAATCAAAATTGCTGTTTAATCTAATAATGTTATCAAGTAAAATTAACCAAATTTATCACAGTAAAGTTAAATTTTTAAACCAGATAATGTGATGTTTGTGCTAATACAATACATTATTGATAGAATTTCAAAACTTATTGGTTAACTGTTAATAGAACTTGATTACTTATTATTAAAATATAATTTAAATTCTAAATTTTTAAAGAATTATTTGTATATTTGCATTCTGTAATATACTGATTAATGTTGTGTTGATTTAACAGAAGACTCCCTAGAAATAATTTTCAGATATTGTTTCTATGTTTAATAAAATGTATTGATTTATTATATAAATTTTTCCAAAAAGTGAGAGGGGAAAAATAGTAATTAATCAGAATAAAATTATCTAAATTAAAATGATTGTTATGCAAAGTCTTCTGTTAAATCTAAATATTTTCAAAAAAATGGAAAATAGAGAGAGGGTAATTTATAACACAAATTATTGATAAAAATATAGCATATTTAACAAAAATTTAATAATTTGAATACTTAAAATTATATAAAACTTGAGAAAAACTTGCAAATTTTCTATGCAAGAAACAAGCAAATATTTCATCTTAAATTTGAGCTGACAAAAAATTTCACCCACTACATAATGTCAGAATTTTGAAATAAAAACAGATTTCCTTTTTGGTTTTTAAAGCTCAGTTTTAGTTTTTTGTAAAAGTTAAAACTGTGGTTTTGTAATAAATAAACCGACTTATTCTTCACATGCTCTCTGGCTCATAACATCTGTATATGTTTAATTTTTCTTTTCTTTTTTTTTTAACCAGACTTTTAGACATCAAACATTTCAATTTCATTTTTAAAATATGGGACTCCCATTATGTTTTTGACAATTTCCCTCATTAATGTCTACAGGCATAGCCAAAACACTACTTCATTTTGTTGTAAAGATTTTGCAACTACAGTTGACCCCCCCTTATAACGTGGGTTCCTATAACGGAAATTCCTATAATGTAGCGAAAAAATTGTAGCAATATTTATATAAAGGAACTCCTAAAATATCGTCGCCGACTCCTGTCGCGACAAGATTGATAGAATCTGGATCAATAGTAGATGAGCAGCCGAACTACTTTCCTCCGCCCTAAACCACGCTATGGAGAGTTTAGGCAGCTAAATTGAGTTTGCTATCGTCTGTATAGCATTATATATAAATTAGGTACTGTACATATAATTATATATTAATTATATATAAATTAGGTACTGTATATATAATTATATATTAACTTATTGTAACTTTTAATTATTAATTAGAGATTCAGACTATGTACAAAAAATTATTTAATTTTTGAGTCTATCAATTCATCCTTTTTCACACACCACAGACTTTTACATCGGTTTGAAGAAATCACTTCATAAAAAACGTATAACAATAGGTAAAAACTTACAATTAAAAACGATCAGACGTCAGCCTTTCATTTTAGGTATCTGACGCCTTTACATTAAAATTAAGTAAATCTTCTCACCAACTGCCAAGTTTTATACCTTCAGTATCAGGTTCAAGCCCTCTAGTGGTGGATACGAGCTATCTTTGATTTGCATGTAGTTACAATTTCATGATGAGCTCAGGATATTTTTCTTCTAATTATTAATTAGAGATTCAGACTATGTACAAAAAATTATTTAATTTTTGAGTCTATCAATTCATCCTTTTTCACACACCACAGAAGTAGCCTTTTACATCGGTTTGAAGAAATCACTTCATAAAAAACGTATAACAATAGGTAAAAATTTACAATTAAAAACGATCAGACGTCAGCCTTTCATTTTAGGTATCTGACGCCTTTACATTAAAATTAAGTAAATCTTCTCACCAACTGCCAAGTTTTATACCTTCAGTATCAG